CATTTTCTTACTTTCCTGAAGCTCATGCTCCTTACTTTTGAAAAACTGATGCTCTTTGTGGTATGTTTTCGCAATTTTGTTGGTTTCATAGCCTTGTTAGAAAATATCTCATAATGCAACAAACATTATGGTAGTTACCTGTCTTCGGGACCTGTACAAATGAAGCCGTTGACAGATATTCCTTGCTATAATGGTGACAGTTTTTAAGAAGTCTGGAAGAAGCTTTATTTTGCTTTGAACAGGATGCACCCTCATCAACACCATCAGTTATTTTACATTTCAAATTCAGCCATCGATCCATTCTGAGGCTCATCCAAAATGTATTGTTATAAAATCCACTCTGAAGATATTGAAAAGTCACTTTACTGAACAATACCTAAATGGTTTAATAGAAAAAACTGAAGAAGAAATATGATCACAAAGTCCATCCGAACTCTCACTGACACTGACAGTACAGTGGTGCCTCGACTTACAACCATAATGTGTTCCAGAAGATGGGCGTAACTCGAAATAGTTGTAAGTTGAAGCACCATTTACCATAGGATTGCATTGGAACGCGATTAATCTGTTCCAGAAGAAAAAAATCACAAAAAACCCACTCCAAGCTGAAAAATAATAATAATAAACCCCATCCCCACACAGTCAGTCCCATCAAAATGTGATGGGGCTGGGGGGAAAAAATCAAAACACACAGACACACACACACAGAGAGAGAGAGAGAGAGAGAGAGAGAGAGACTATCCGAACACGATGGGGCTGTGGGGGAGGGGAACCCACACACAGCCAGCCCCATCCAAATGTGATGGAGCTGGGGAAAAACACACACCAAAAAACAAAACAAAACAAATCACAGCACAGAAACATAACCCCTCCAAAACCCAAACCCACCCTGCAAAACCTTGTAAAGGTACTCACCCAGAAGCAGAAAGCAGCACCAGGCAATCCGAAGTATCTCTGCAAACGCACACGCACTAACCATTGGGGCAAAGAGCTACAAAGAAGCTCTTCGCTGATCAACAGTTAGTCCTGTAATTTGAATTCCCCACCTTTTTCCCTGCCTCTTTTGTTTGCAACTCGAAGCTCCGGCCACAAGTTGAAGGAAAATTTTGCAGCGAGAGCTGGTTGCGACTTGAAATGGTTGTAAGTCAGGATGTCTGTAAGTCGAAGCACCACTGTAATTGACTTTGACTCTCTCTTAACACAGCTTCTGACAGTCTGCACAGTAGCAAGAAAGGTCATGTGCCACTTAGTGTCATTCACTTGTATGTTCTCACTATGTGCATAAAATTCAAAAGTTACTTGCTATCAAACAGCTACGTATTTTCATAACCAATTTTTACTTATGTGTGTTTTTAATGGAGGCAGTAGGTTAGAAAAGCTTCTTTTTACACAAAGAAGCAAGGGAAATTAAGATTTTTTCCCCTTTCTTTGATCCAGAGAAGTACTTTCATACACTGCTTGACTTTAAGCACACATTGAGTTCCATTAATTCTTCTGGGAGCAGTTGCATTGCGAAACTGGGATTGCAACTGGTATCCGTACTGTATTACGGATACGTAGGTGATAAGAAGATTCTTTCTTTCTTTCTTTCTTTCTTTCTTTCTTTCTTTCTTTCTTTCTTTCTTTCTTTCTTTCTTTCTTTCTTTCCTTCTTTCATGCATTCTATTTTAACTGCAAAAGATCATAATATTTCTTCAAGCCTTTGCAGACCCCCTGTGAAGATATTGCTGCCCCCTGGGGATCCACGGAGCACAGGTTAAGAACCTGTGAGAGAGACTGGTATTATGACTGAGCAGGAGCCCCATAATGATATTTGCACAGCTTAAAAAATCCACATTCTACCAGGTAACTTTTAAAAAGTTGGCTGTCGAAACAAAATATTTTATCGGAAAAACTGGGAGCCTGATAAGCACCAAATCTGCTAAAAGGGGAGATGACAATCTTCTCCTTCTTTATTTCCAATTTGGAGACATTTGGGCAAAGGATTTTCAAGTTATGATTGCTGCATGTATATTCTGTGCTGTTCTCTGACATGAAGATAAACATTACACACCTTGAAGGTCAACACCACTGAAGCGTCTCTTATTAGGTGCCTCCTTCTAGGTCTCTCTCACTGAACTCCCCAGTTAAACTCCTGTTTGTTTCCCTGTTCACTTGCTCCATGGTGTCTGACTCAGTTTTATCCCTCTGCTGTGCTGTGTTTGGATTCTGCCCCAGTGGTTTCATTTCGATGTGAAACAAGGAAGGCTAGAACTGCCTAGAGGTATCACACAGCATATCTGAGACTTTTGTTTTAACTTCCAGCTTCTTTTCAAAAGTGAACTCTTAAGACAAACTCAGGTGCAAGTTGAGTTGCCGACAGACAAGTTACTATTCACTCTGTGGTTTGGTGCCCTTAAACCACTAAGATTAACTAGATTAGTTTGCATTGCACATTGAGCCCTGTTCATTCACCAGAAGGCTAAATAGGAGCTGGGGATGTGGGCATCATCAGAAGCCCTGCCCTCATTTTCCAGGGAAGAGATATTTGGGGCAGGACGTAATGTTGACACATACATCCCCACTACCCATTTAACAGGCAAATACTGCATAAGGCTTAAGTGTAACTTAGAGACCATGTTTACGATGGATGGCCACTTCCATCAGGTATCTACAGATGGAAATAATGATAAGATGTCATCTCTGAATGACCACTGCTTTTCACAAGAGAAAGACATGTCAAAAGTCAACCAAACAAATAACTGAAAGAAAGGTTATCTCAAGGGCACAGTCTATGCTTGAGGGGCATTTTGTAACCAAAGAGGTTGTGAAAGCAAAGTAATAAATATTTCCAGACAGTTTTGTTCTGTTAAGAGTTAAATGACTATCTCAAGATCACATGTTTCCACACATAAAGTCTGTAGTCCCAAATAGATCTCTGGTGTGTTGTGTATTTTTGGTTATCTCAAGGGCACAGTCTATGCTTGAGGGGCATTTTGTAACCAAAGAGGTTGTGAAAGCAAAGTAATAAATATTTCCAGACAGTTTTGTTCTGTTAAGAGTTAAATGACTATCTCAAGATCACATGTTTCCACATATAAAGTCTGTGGTCTCAAATAGATCTCTGGTCTGTTGTGTGTGGGTTTTTTTTAAATGAATCATTGCCGAGACGAGTCATCTGGGGAAAACTGGAACAATTTTGATCACCTTAAAATGATTAATGTTTCCCCAGACCAAATAGCTAAAGAATGTCTAGTGAAATAAATATTTGTATATAAAATTTCTTCGTAAGTATCACTTCAGAAGATCACTGCAAGCTCTATTGTAACCACTACAGAAAACTGCTTCCAAAATAGAAATGGATTGGATTGTTCCTGTTCCCATACTCCTCCTTTTTACCTTTATGATTATTTTAGTTTTGAAAACTGTGAGTTCCTGGAACAACAGTTCTCAGCTTCTTCCACCGGGACCCTTGTGTTTACCGCTTGTGGGAAATCTTCTCATAATGGATCAGAAAAGGCCTTACACGACCATGGTGAAGGTAAGTTTTTCTTTCCTTTCCTTCCATGGCAGGGAAATATATGTATATTTATATTTCAGTCTCTAGTGTTGGTAACAATGTGCATAATGCATGCTGCACACAGATTTATTGGTGCTTCTTTAATTCTGCAGTTGCTCTGTTTCTGTGAGAGGAACCAGCAGTAGGAAAATAAATGGAAAGTTGGTATCTGAACAGCTAGAAGAGGAGGAACAGAATAGGCTGAATGGGATGAGAATTGCCAAGAAGTGGACGAGCAAAAGATGGCTGCTGATGAGAGAGACGTGGTGATTCTTCTTGGGCCATCTGGAGAAGGGGATGTTGACCATCTGGAGAAGGGGATGCTCTGGTCCCAGGGGAAAGCCACTGATGAGTGCTGCTGCACTTTCAACATCCCACTGCACTACCAAGCTCACCTGGAAAGGCTTGTTTTCCAATTTGTCAAAGCATGCTGTATGGGGATGGTTACTCCACTCAATAGCACATGCATTTTTGTGCCATTCATTTCATAGTGACCAATTCCCAAACACTTTGCTTTTCTCCTCCATCAGAGGAGCATCATGCCTTGTCTTTCTCTATGCCTACCTTACTTGGGGATGGTGGAAGGTGGGTGAGAAAAGTTTACAACTTGCATGGTGAAATCTTGGTCATCCCTTTGAGGGCTAGTTTTCCTCTCACACCCAGCTCATGAAGGATGAACTATGTCTCCTCTCATACTTCCACTCCCAGGACTATCTCCTTTCCCTAATCCTGGACCAATAGGAGTAATACACAGGAACCTTGGGAGAAAGAAGCATTTCAGATAGCAGCTTCTGCCCACAGCAATTAATATATTGTTGTTTTACAGGATTGTTAACAGCTGAGGTTGAGCAATGGGGCAATTATTTAAAGAAAGCAATTTACACTTCAGTAAGTTGGAATATCAGTCTGCAGAGCCAAAGGCTGGGAATTTAAATACCTACTATGCCTGCCAGGGGAGGGCCCTGCTGAGATTAACCAGAAGGAGTGTGGCTGATGGGTTTATGTTGCCCTCCCACCTGTCCAGACTTGGGCAAGCTGCAGGATCCAAGAGTGCCACCAGATGACAGGACTGGAAAACCCCTTTTGAGTATTTTGTATCCATAAAACTCAGGGAAGAATTGCCTTAAATCAGAATCAAGGTGATGGCACATCCATATTAGTATGATTTATGTTCTACACAGGCAGTGGGTACCCAGTGTGGTATAGTGGATAAAATAGTGAACTAGAACTCAGTAGACCTGTGCTCAGTTCCCTGGCTCTGCCATTGAAACTCACATGGGCAGTGAAGCTGGTGAAATGACTTCTAAAATACCCCACTGACCTTGAAAAGTCTATTACAGGGGTCAGGGAACTTTTTTACCTTTTACCCCCTAAAAATTTATATACGCCGACATTACCCCCTTGATTCGAAAGGAAGGAAATCATACATTATCTGAATTCAAAATATTATTGAATCTATACAAGCTGTGTACCGAACTAGCAGGATGCACCAAATTTGATAAAGATGTGCACTATTTTTGCTGGAAAACATTGCACTCCAGCCATGGGGTGGTAGTAGTAGGGTGTCCAATGTGCCTAGCAAGTTGCATTAAATTTTTGCTAGCTCGCAGAGGATTTAATCATCATCAGTGGCTGCCAGAGTGGTGCTAGCAATGACATTCTTGCTAGAGACAACCAATGTAGAGTTGAGGGGGGGTCCCTACCACTTTAATCATTCTGTGTGTAGTGTGCAAAAAGGAAAAAACCAGGCCACAGCCCAATATCAAAGGACCAGTGTGCTGTTTTTTTATCATCATCAATGGAAAACTCAGCAGTGGCCAGAGGATTGGAAAAGATCAGTCTACATACCAATCCCAAAGAAGGGACGTACCAAAGAATGCTCCAACTACTGTACAATGGCACTCATTTCACCTGCTAGCAAGGTTATGCTCAAATCCTACAAGGCAGTCTTCAGCAGTATGTGAACTGAGAACTCCCAGAAGTGCAAGCTGGATTTCGAAGGGGCAGAGGAACTAGAGACCAAATTGCTAACATGCGCTAGATTATGGAGAAAGCCAGAGAGTTCCAGAAAAACATCTACTTCTGCTTCATTCACACACACACACACACACACACACACACACACACACACACACACACACACACACACACACACACACACTCCCTAAATTTTCAACAATCAGTTGCTTCAGGTCAGTATGTCATGTTTCCTCTCATTACATTTAAACAAGCTTGATGAAACCACCCGGTCCCTCTCTTACACCTTCCTTCCCGCCTTAATTGGAGCCTTCTCTCCTTGCAGTCATATCCTTTTTTCATGGTTTTATGAAAGTCAATCTCTCTCACACACATACACTCTCCCTCCCTCCCTCCCTCCCTAAATTTTGTACAATCTTACCTTTAAACAAGCTTGATGAATCCACCCGTCCCTCTCTCGTACTTTCCTTCCCGCCTTAATTGGAGCTTTCCAGCTCCAGCGGATGTAGTTATTCACAAGCCGGATTGACTGCCCCCGGCTGTTCTAGAGCTGTAAACAGTAAAGCAGCTTTATCTCTGATCTCTAAAAGAACTGATTTACAAGTGCCGCAACCAAGGAAGGTAGCAGGGATAGGTGGCTTAAAGTTTGAGGTTTGGCTGCAGGGGGTGGGGGTGGGGAATGGGGCTAGCACTCTGCTCATAACCCCCAGGATTTTCACTTTTACCCCATTTGGGGTAATTACCCCTGTTCCCCGACCTATGCCTTAGAGGAAAGACAGCAGACTGAGTAGGATTCGGCAGAAATAATGGTGCGGGAATATCTGGCTGAGCCCCATCAGTCAGATCCCCTCCATTGAATTCCTGCCTGCCTGCCTACCTGCCTGTCTGCTTGTATCAAGTCAGATCAGCAGGCCAAGAACTGTTGAACTCCTGACTGCCTGCCTGCCTGCCTGCCTGCCTGCCTGCCTGCCTGCCTGCCTGCCTGCCTGCCTGCCTGCCTGCTGGATCAAGCCAGACCAGCAGACCAAGAACTGTTGAACTCCTGCCTGATGCTGTTTCCTAGTTTGTTCCACCTTCTGCCCCCTGACTTACTGCTGGGTCATGTAGTTCCGTCGGGATAAGTTTTGCATGACTGATGCCTGGCATGGGTTAAACCAGATCAGCTCTGCAATCTGAAACCAAGCGAATTGGTGATGGGGTGAGACGCAGACAGCCTTTGGTTCGGGCAGACCCAGGCCAGCCCTCTTGATATACAAGCCTAAACCCTCTCTTGGCACACCCAGAGCCTGTCCCAGCACCCCTGAACATGACAAGAGGGGCAGACAACCCTCTTGGCACAACCAGAATGTGATGACAACCCTCTTGGCACACCCAGAGCCTGCCCTGGCACACCCGAATTTGATTAGAACACCAGCCAACCCTCTCTTGGCACATGCAAAGCCTGTCCCCATCCCCAAACGTGGCTAGGCCAGCCAGGGCTCTTGGCAGTTGGCACACCCAAAGCTGGTCCTGGCATCTTGAACATGTCAAGAGGGCCAATCTGTCTCGGCCCCCCAAAACCTCTGAGGGCTATCTTTATCATATGTGGGCGGTCTCAGCAGCCAAGTTGCAATCCCCAGCTTTCTAGTTCTAAACGAGCATTTTTGTTTCTTTGAAGGTTGTCAGCAAGTCTAGTTAGTCGTTGGTAATGAGTGACAGGTGAGTCTCCTAGGCCTGTCTCAGACCCCAAGCCTGTCCGGGCGTCACCCCATCGCACGGCCTCAGATGGCAGAGCTGATCTGTTTACGACAGTCCCGGGGCCCCGCAGATTAACTGCCGTTAGTAGCACCTTGGACCCTTTTCTCTTGTTGGTGCTACTGATTCCCTGAGAGCCAGGCTCTGCCCCCAAAAAACCTGTCCGGGCATCCCCCATAGCAAGATGGACAACAGCAGCAGCAACAACAACAGCACCTATAACAAGCCCAGTGGCTCAGCACTGCAGTTTAACCTGCAGTGCCACTGTCTACCTTGCTGCCAGCTTCCTCAGTGTCCAATGGGTCCAAAAGTCTATGTTGCGGGATACATGACAGCTTTCCTGGTCCTGCAGCTCCCTCCACTTCCAAAAAGCCTGTGTGCTCATTCCAACTTCCTCAGGCTTGATTCTCAAATGCAGCTTGCTGACCAGCATCCTACCCTCCTTGGCCATCCCTGTGCCAAAAGGGCCAGGTTCACCCCCACCCAAACCTGATCAATGTGCTCCCTCCTCCTGAGTTGTGCTGTGTGTGACATGTCCCTCCTATTTCCAGGATCTGTATCCGCTGATTCATTTATTCTGAAAAATCTCAGAAATGCATATTTATATGTATTTCATTATTCCAGTCTTCTTGAGCTTCATTCCAATTACTCATACCTGTTCATTCCAGCCTCCTTTCCTTCTCTACTGCCGCAGAAGGCTGGCAGAAGCTGGGTGAAAAGCAACAGGACATAGCTCACCCCATCGCATGGATTCAAACTGCAGTGCTGATCTTCTGATGGACAAGCCCAGTAGCTCAGCGGTTTAACCCGCAGTGCCACAGTCTATGTTGCTGCTATGTGCAACTTGTGTGGGCATCCTCCCCACCTCACCGGGCATCAATTCCAGCCTCCTTGGGCCATGTTGGCCCCAAATCCTCTAAAGTTGCCTTGGGCTTGCCTGCTGCTGATCCTGTGGCAAGAATTGGGCTGAGGGCCTTCCAAATCTTGACTGCTGGGTGATGTTGGCTCATTGGGCCAAGTTCTTTCCAGGTTGCCTGCCTGCTTATCCAAAGGGCTACATTAGTGCTCCAAAGTCCATAAGAAAGAAACCTAATTTGGTGGTGGACGAAATTGGCAATTATAGGTCCATCACCAATGTTTCTTTCATTAGCAAAGTGGTTGAGAGGGTGGTGGCTGAGCAGCTTCAAGCTCATTTGGATGGAACAGATGCCCTGGATCCGTTTCAGTCAGGCTTCAGGCCACATCACGATACAGAGATGGCATTGGTCGCC